GTTGAGAAGTTGCATTTAACCAGAGACCTGAGTGCAGTGAAGGAGTGGGGGACTCATGTGAATGTCTGTAGGAGCCAGGCTGTGGGAACAGCAAATGTTAGAGATTTTTTATTTTTTTTAAAGATGACCAGTAAGGGGATCTTAACCCTTGACTTGGTGTTGTCAGCACCACGTTCACCCAGTGAGCGAACTGGCCATCCCTATATGGGATCCGAACCCGTGGCCTTGATATTATCAGCACCGCACTCTCCCGAGTGAGCCATGGGCCGGCCCGGAAATATTCAGATTTTAAAATAACAGTTAAGTGGATTGTGGGAACAGGAAAACCATTTTACTTTGGTTCCAGGATACTGGTAATATAGCTAAGGAAGTAGATGCTTTTTTATTACAGTTGCATTGAGAGATTTCATCTACTGAAGAACATTTGCTTATTCAAAACATCCCTGGACTATATGTTTTCCAAAATAAGGTCTCTTCTGAGAACTGTGAACTGTAGTGAAATCAAAGCCGTTTTTTTCCTTTTGAAGAGTGACATAATGAAACCACTAATGAAACCCTAACAATCTACTTCACATTGAAGTTGAAAAAATCCAAAAGGAGCAGCTTTAACTTCAGTGAGGGGAAAGTGCATTGTGAAGATTGTTCACCTTTGCTGCATTTGGGATTTATATAGTTATTTGGTAACATTGTTTTAAGAACTACTGGGACTTAATGCAATCCTGCATAAGAATTTTATCTATCTATCTATATGTCTATCTGTTTACTTATTTATTTGGCCAGTACAGGGATCCAAACCCCTGACCTTGGTGTTACAGCAGTGTGCTCTAACCAACTGAGCTAACCATTCAGCCCCCAAATATAATTTATATTATGTGAAAAAATAAGACAGGACTTAATACGAGGAACACAAAGACCAGTCATCATTAGTTTTCTTAAGATTGTGTTTTATTAAAAAACTATTAAATGTGTGCAGCTATTTTCTTATGTTGAGAAGACTTTGAAAATTTAAAACATCATAGCAAATAATAGTAAAAATGTTTTGTGCACACTGAGATTACGATATGCAAAATGCCTTAATTATTATTATTATTATTTATTTTTTTCTTTTTAAAGATGACCGGTAAGGGGATCTTAACCCTTGACTTGGTGTTGTCAGCACCATGCTTTCCCAAGTGAGCTAACCGGCCATCCCTATGTAGGGATCCGAACCCTAGGCCTTGATGTTATCATCACCACACTCTCCCAAGTGAGCCATGCGCCGGCCCAAAATGCCTTAATTATTAATAAGCCAGTGTGTTATGATACCAATATCTGTTTTTAAAAAATTAAAACCAACCATGCAACTACCATGACAAAATCATGGAGTTAAATCAGGGGTTTACATTCATGGAATATGTTGAAACATATTCCACACTATTTTTAAAACTTCAGAATATTTTTTAGTATCTGATTTTGGGGGGGGGGGCTGGAATCATCATGTCATGTATGAATATGTTATCCCTATATAAATAGAAAGGTGAATATGTATTTTCATGAATATTTAACTGGAAATGTCCATGGAGTTGGCTAATTTATATTCACTTTTTATTGTATGCAGATTCCTAATATATTTTATTTCTGTATCATTTAAACTTCATTTAGTAAATTCACTGAATATTTCTTAAAAAAAATAAAAAGTCCCCATGCCCAGTACAATTAAATCAGAGTCTCTAGGTTCCAGGGATTAGCTAAAGGTTGGACTCACTGATTTAGGGTTTTGTAAACGAGGGAAAAGAATTTTGATTCCATTTTGGATGTGGCAGAAACCATTGGAGAGATTTGGGCAGGGTAGTGATGAGATCTGATTTGCTGTTTTAAAGAGATCATCATTAGCTGCTATGTGAAAAGTAGACTGTAGAGGGAGTAGAATATAAAAAGTAAATAACTCTTGGCTATGTTTGGGAGTTTTGAAAATTAAACTATCAATTTAAAAAAATTAGGGCTGGCTGGGTAGCTCAGTTGGTTAGAGAGCTGTGTTGTAATACCGAAGTCAAAGGTTCAGATCCCTTTACCAGCCAGCCACCAAAAGTAAATGAATAAATAAATAAATATATTTATAAATAAGGAATAGCTATTAAAAGTTACATTTAAATCTTTTTTAAAAAAAATTTTTTTTTTTAAAAGATGACCGGTAAGGGGATCTTAACCCTTGACTTGGTGTTGTCAGCACCACGCTCTCCTGAGTGAGCAAACCAGTCATCTCTATGTAGGGATCTGAACCCGTGGCCTTCATATCATCAGCAGCACACTCTCCCGAGTGAGCCACGGGCCAGCCCTATATTTAAATCTTTAATGCTGTTAAGATACATGAAGCTTTCATAGGCTATGAACATAATGCACGTTACAAAAACTTTAGCAAGTTTATTATTGAACAGTTTACATAATGTGAGATCATTTTAAACCATCACTAACTTTCAAGCTAACTATTGTTTTATAACTCATATGATTTTTTTAGGATAGTCCTTCAGAGCTTTTGAAACCATTACAGAAAGATCAAGTACTGATTCTGTTAGCACCAGAAGAATTCTGCCTACTTCCTTGTTTTGTGCTCAATGAACAATGGATGTTCTGTCCAGAAGTGATGAAAATAAATCTATCTGGGCCGGCCCGTGGCTCACTCGGGAGAGTGCAGTGCTGATGGCACCAAGGCCCCGGGTTCAGATCCCATATGGGGATGGCCGGTTCGCTCACTGGCTGAGCGTGGTGCTGACAACACCAAGTCAAGGGTTAAGATCCCCTTACCGGTCATCTTTTAAAAAAAATAAAAAATAAAAATCTATCTGAATCAATTTTGTTCTAAACTTTTTGATCTTAGGCCGGCCCGTGGCTCACTCGGTAGAGTGCAGTGCTGATAACACCAAGGCCACGGGTTCGGATCCTATATAGGGATGGCTGGTTTGCTCACTGGCTGAGCGTGGTGCTGACAACACCAGGCCAAGGGTTGAGATCCCCTTACCGGTCATCTTTTTAAAAAAAAAATAAAATAAAAAAATAATAAAATAAACTTTTTGATCTTATTGACAAGCCCTAAACTGCTTGTAAACTGTTGCCCATCCTTAAAGGACCATTTGGTTGTTTTCTTGTTTTTTCCCTGAGCTGGAAGGGACCTCTGCAGGCTTGGAAGCAGTGAGATAAGTTAGCAGGGAATAACATAGCTGAACTCCCCTCTGTTTGGGGCTTGGCACTTTTCCAGATACAGGGTCGGGGTGGGAAGGCATGAAGACGTTTCCAGGCTCTAGGGAGTCCTATTGCCACAGCACATGCACATATAAAGGGTTTGCTCTTCATACTTAATACTGACAATACAATGAATTCTGTGAATCTGTTATTCAACCAAGAAAACCAGATTATTAACAGTAACCTGCATCTACTTATGTGTTCCTACCCTATCCTAACCCCATAATATCTCTTTTCCAATGACCAATATCATGAGTTTTGCATTTATCATTCCCTTGTCTCTTTTGGGGTGGGGTCACCCATATATCAACACAGCACAGCATTGTTTAATTTTAGTTGTTGCTGAACTTTATAAACAGGATAGTGTATTGGATGTGTTTTTTATTTATTTATTTATTTTCCCTTTTTTTGTCTTTTTTACTGACTGGTAACGGGATCGCAACCCTCGGTGTCACACCCGTACCGGGGACTGGCAACGGATCGCAACCCTCGGTGTTGCGCTCGCACTGCGCTCAGCCAGTGAGTGGGAACCGGTCTCTACATGGGACCCGAACCCTCAGCAGGAGCGCCGCTGCACTCCCAAGCGGCGCACTCTCCAGTGCGCCACCAGGCCGGCCCTTATTATTTTTTTTTTAATGTAATTTTATCTTTGGCGGCTGGCCGGTACAGGGATGCAAATCCGTGACCTTGGTGTTATGAGGCTGTGTTCTAACTAATTGAACTAACGGCCAGCCAGAGTTTTGGAACTTGGTTTTTTCACTTAACATTATGATTCTCACCAAGGTTAAGGGTTTGGATCCCCATACTGGCCCGCACCCCTGCGCCCCGCCAAGTTATGGTTCTAAGATTTATCTGTTGTGTATAACTGAAGATCATTTTCCTTGTCGATTATTAATATTGTCCATTTTATTTGTCCATTCCACTGCTGGACATTGGGGTTAGTCCTGCTTTTCTGCTGCTGTGGACATTCTTGGACACGTGTCCCGGTTGCACACAGGCAAGTTTCTCCGCTTTCTTGCCTGAGTGGAATTGCTAGATACAGGGTTGTTTAACTTTGTAAGCTTTGTTGCCCTCATTCTTGTTTTTGTTTCTACCACAGGTTTCAGTCCCCGTGGGGGTGGCTTCGGTGGCCGAGGGGGCTTTGGTGACCGTGGTGGTCGTGGTGGAGGCCGAGGAGGTTTTGGTGGAGGCCGAGGAGGCTTTGGCGGGGGCCGAGGTCGAGGTGGAGGATTTAGGGGCCGTGGACGAGGAGGAGGAGGAGGAGGAAGAGGTGGTGAGTGAGGTTGGCAAGGGGTGATGGAGGCTTCTCTGGGTGGGAGGAGGGAAGAGAATTGAGCCTGTCTTACTGTGTCTCTCTCTTATAGGTGGAGGCTTCCAGTCTGGTGGCAACCGGGGTCGTGGTCGGGGAGGAAAAAAAGGAAACCAGTCGGGGAAGAATGTGATGGTGGAACCTCATCGGCATGAAGGTGAGTAGGGAAGGCAGAGAACCAGCTGAGGTTAGGGGTGGATGGGGCCCGGAGTCCTCACTTCTGTTCTGATCCCTCACCCAGGTGTCTTCATTTGTCGAGGAAAGGAAGATGCACTAGTCACCAAGAATCTGGTTCCTGGAGAATCAGTTTATGGAGAGAAGAGAGTCTCGATTTCAGTGAGACCTGGGCCCCTGTCCTAGCCACCAGAGCCCCAGCTGATGGTGTCAACCAGCAGTCTGGTCTCCCTGCCTGCTCCCACCGTGTGTCCTACACATGACAGCCAGGGGTCATCTTAATACATAAGTCAGACCGTGCACTCCCCTCCTCAGATGTCTTCTGTGACTCCCCATTACCTTCAGGTTAAAGTCCTGAGTCCTCACTGTGCCATGAAGGCCCTGCATGTTCTAGCTCCTCCTCCCCACTCCATGGCCCCATCTCCTCCCACTGTCCCCCAACTAAGTGCCCTCCAGCCACAATGGCCTGTCTGCTGTTTCCTCTCCCAGCTCTGTGCAAGGCTTGTTCCTTCTCATCATCTGCATCTCTGGTCAGATGTCACCTTGTCTTTGTGACAAGGCCACTTCACACCTCCCCTTCTGTCAAAAGCAGTCCTCACTGCCCATCCCCTGCCCTACGATCCCATGTCATTTTCTTTGTGGCCAGTGGTATACCTGCCTCAGGACCTTCCTGCTTTCTCTGTGCCTGGAATATTTTTCCCCAGATAACTTGAACAGCTCCTTTGCTGCTTTCAGTTCTGACTTAGAAGTCTCCTTTTCTGCTCTTCTCTGGCCATGCTTTCTCATTTTCGCCTGTTCCTTGCCCTGCTCCCCATACTTCCTATCTTCTTGCCTTGCTTCATCTTCTCTCCTTAGCACCTGTCACCATTTAATATGCTGTGTTATATTTAGTTAGCTTGGTGTATACTTAAGGGCAGGGATCTTTGTCTTGTTCATTGTTATATATATCTCCACTGCCTAGAACTGTGTCTAGCACACAGCAGGTGCTAGCACAGTAAATGTTTGTTGAACAAGTACTTAGGTCTGTTACTCTTTGTGTTTATTGTCTTTTGCTGCCTGTTCTCCCTGAGACAGTCACCTCTATGAGAGGGCAGGGACTGCATCTGTCATGGTCACTGCTATGTACCCATGTTCAGTTCTCATACCGAACCACCCAGTCTGTTTCGAGGGCCCTAGGGTTAAGGGTGATGGGGTCCTATAGAAGAACCCAGAATTGACTTCAACCCCATCTATCCTGGCCCAGGAAGGAGATGACAAAATTGAGTACCGAGCCTGGAACCCCTTCCGCTCCAAGCTGGCGGCAGCAATCCTGGGTGGCGTGGACCAGATCCACATCAAGCCAGGGGCCAAGGTGCTCTACCTTGGGGCTGCCTCAGGCACCACTGTTTCCCACGTCTCTGACATTGTAGGCCTGGTGAGTGGATGGGTGGGGGGTAGGGTAAGGGCAGATGGGAGAGGTAGGAGGGAGGGAAAGGCCACCTCCTTCTGCCAACTTGGAACCAGAGGGCCTGGCTGCTTCCCTGCACTGTGTGGCTTACGGTTGGGCCCTTCTCTCTCACAGTGCCTGTGAATAAAAGGAGCAGTTTGAGACAGTCTCATTCAGCCTAACTCCTGAGTCCTTGTCCTCAAGGAAAGAGGCATGGGGGTGGGTGACCAACACTGGAAGAGCCCAGAGCTGGGAAAATATATACCAGACTATTAGATTTGGTTACCCTCTTTAAAAATTCATGCTTCCAAAATCTGGTCTTCTGGTTTCTTTTGAAAGAACTGGGAGATCTAATGTTTTCTGTGCTGTATTTCTGTGTGACTATGCATTTCCCATCTAGAGGGCACCTGGACCCATGCTTATCACTTCATAACCCTTTGTTCCTTTACATGATTATAGGTTGTTTAATTTAGTGTTTAAAAACCCCAGGCTTGGCCTGGCGTGTGGCTTACTCAGGAGAGTGTGGTGCTGATAACACCAAGGCCCCGGGTTCAGATCCTATATAGGGATGGCCAGTTAGCTCACTGGCTGAGTGTGGTACTGACAACACCAAGTCAAGGGTTAAGATCCCCTTACTGGTCATCTTTTAAAAAAAACCCAAAGAACAAAAAACCCAGGCTCTCGGGCAGGCTTTTAATAATGATGTGGCAAGTTACCTAACTTAATCTCTCTGAGCCTCAGTTTACCCCTCTGGAAAATAGAGTTGTTGTGAAGACTAAACAAGTTAATTCCTGGAAAGTGCTTAGAGCAGTGCCTGGCCCACTGCAAATACTATTAGCTCTCATTACTTCACCTGTGTGCCTTGGCTTCCTGGTTTTAAGCTTCTGTTGGGAGCCTGGGCTCTGAGATCAGGCAAATCTGGATTGGTAGCTTTGCTACTTGCTGAATAACCCTTGGCCAGTGACTTCATGTCTGTGGACCTCAGTTTATTCATCTGTAAAGTGAACATGATAATAAAAGTCATTAAATGGTAGGCTTTTGATTTGGAGATTCGAAGAGATGCTATTTGTAGCATATGGGTCCAAAGTAAGCACTCCATCCATGAGAGCTACTATCGTTGTTAATTATTATTTGATTTATTTTAGGATGGTCTGGTCTATGCAGTTGAGTTTTCCCACCGCTCTGGCCGTGACCTCATTAACTTGGCCAAGAAGAGGACCAACATTATTCCTGTGATCGAGGATGCTCGGCACCCACACAAATACCGCATGCTTATCGGTGAGGAGTCTGGGGTTTGGCCCTAGTGGGGTAGGACAGGCCACTCCAACCGGCCCAGAAAATGAAATTTATTGCTTATAGTTTTGGAGACTAGGAAGTCCAAAATCCAAGGAATACATCTGGTGGTGGTAACAGTGACCCAGGGATCCCACATTGCAAGATGGTGGAAGCAGAGAGAGACTAACCTCACTCACTCTCCTTTTAAAGCCTCCAAACCATGTCCCTGACCACCATTTTTAATCCATTCACTACTGCATGGGGGAACCTATAATCTAATCACTCTTAAAGGCCCTACCTTTCAGTTACCGTAATAGGATTTCCCATCCTCTTAACACTGTCACAGTGGGGGTCAAGTTTTGGGGGATACTCAGTCCAAGGCACACTGCCTTAAAAGTATTACTTTTCATTCGTTTTTCTTTGTTTTTTCCATGTACTTATACCATACCCCTTGTCCTGTAACTTGTTTTCATTCGACAGTCCTGCAGATGCTCTTGCCTATAAGTGCTGACCTTTACTTGTCTTTTTGATGACGTTTCTGTCTCCCCCACCAGACCTGGGAGCATCTCGAGGGCAGGGTCTAGGTCTGGCTCATCTCAATGTCCTCCACGCCCGGCCCAGGGCTGGCCACAGAGTAGGGGGCAACCGTGGTTTATAGTAGGAGTGAATGAATGATGTGACTGGGTTTTGGACCCATCATGGGGGCACTGTGGAGGGAGGAGGATGAGTAGGGACAAAGTGAGACTGGAGGCAGGGAGATTCTCTCAGGAACCTGCTGGTAATGGGACACAGGCCCCATGGGAGGATCTGGGAAGATCTCTGGTAGAACCAACTTTTAACTCATGTCCCTTTCTCCTTAGCAATGGTGGATGTAATCTTTGCCGATGTGGCCCAGCCAGACCAGACCCGGATTGTGGCCCTGAATGCCCACACCTTCCTGCGTAATGGAGGACACTTTGTGATTTCCATTAAGGTGAGGAGTCTAAGATGAGGTGGCGGTGTCCCAGGGAGGTATCTTCTCTATCTGTGGTTGTCAAGCAGCCAGTCAAAAGGGCCTTCGCATCCCCTAATCATTCAGTTTATTCCCAGCCTTTATCTCTACCCCAGTTCCCTACAAGCCAACCCCTGTCCCCCAAACAGCACAAAATAAAAAATGTCTGCAAAACTGCAAGCTTTGAATTTAAAGAGGCAAGAGAGTGTAGTGTTCAAGTGCATGATTGCTGAGTCTGACCATCTGAGTTTGAATTCCAGCTTGCTTTGTGACTTTGGACAAATTACCTAACCTATGTGCCTCAGTTTCTTCACTTGTAAAATAGGAATACTAGTCTTGTCTCTTTTAGGGTTGAGTAAGGATTAAATTAATCAATATATGTGAGGTGTTTAGAACAGATCCTGGCATCGAATAGACACTAGAAAAATTCTTGGTGCATTTTCCTTTCTTTTTTTTTTTTTTTAAAAGATGACCGGTAAGGGGATCTCAACCCTTGGCTTGGTGTTGTCAGCACCACGCTCAGCCGGTGAGCAAACCGGCCATCCCTATATAGGATCCGAACCCGTGGCCTTGGTGTTATCAGCACTGCACTCTACCGAGTAAGCCACGGGCCGGCCTTCTTTTTTTTTTTTAATGGCAGCTAGCAGGTACCCAGATTTCTTTTAAAATAACTAATTTCTGCTCTTCCCTTTTTAACTTCCC